GCCGCCCCTGCGGCCGGTGGTCGGGCAGGCCGCGGTTTCTGGTTTTACTGACGAGGCGCAGCAGGAAACGTCAAGTTTTCGGCACCGAGGTCTTGGCAGCGGCGTGCCGGGTGCGGAGGCAGAGGAGGAAGCGCTCTGCTGTTGGCACAACGCGGGTGGCGGGATCCTTTCCTCTCGCTCCCTCTCCTATTGATGTATATACGTTTTAATAACTTTGATCCTCTTCTCCCAGGCCCTTACTAGCCTTTCCTGGAAGCTGATTTTATCAATGCTGTTTTAAAACATGAGTTACAAAAGACAAGCTGTCTGTTAGCAAGCCTTGGTTTGCACAATGCAATTCCCCGGTGCATTTTCTATGCAGTTCCAATATTGTTGCCGCGATCTTCTAGATTAAAATAAAAACTACATTGTTAACACTGGCCTTGGTTTGGAATTAGAAATGACATTTAATGTTTACCATTTTACACCCTAAATATTGCAGATGCGGGCACAAATAAGGAAATATTATGCAGTCACAGGATGTTTGTGTAGTTCTTATGAAAGCCATTGCATCTTTAAAGTCAAAGTGAATTAGCTAATAGCCAAAATTATAAAAGAATATCTGCATCAATCAGAAGTCCTCCCTCTGAAGTCTGTGAGGCTTGTACTTCTGAGGCATGTGAAAACTTCTGAAAATTCTGCCCCCGGGGATAGTCCATGTTTAGCCAGCTGACTTTAGGATCCTATTTTTGGAACCTTTGGTTGAGATTTTAAATTGGATTTTTAGTGGGAATGGTGCCTGAATTGGTGCTGTAGGATCTTGAAGGCTATATCTAAGATTAAAAAAGAAAAAGGGGGGGGGTGTCATTCTTTTCTGGGGATAGGCTCCTTTTTAGTAGATTTTATATATCATAAAAGAGCAATGTGGCATAAATAAGTGTTCTTTCATTTTTGCAGAGCATCTTTAAGTAATCATTGTAGCCTTTCATGTTGCTAGTTTCCTTCATTGTCTTTTAGAATATCACCGGTAGGATTTCATAGAAAATAGCAATCTTCTTCGTGGAGTGCTTCAGCACAGCTTGAAAGTATGTTTTCATGAGATATTGTCCTACTGCAAATACTGTACATTGATTGTAGGCTAAACATACCCTCAAAGGTATATATGAAGAAATCTGTGTATGAGAAAACTGGGAAGGATTACAGTGTGGTAGATAAATTGGAGCTAAATTACAGTACTTATGATTTGTTCCTGAGGATGTGATCTTAATGAAGTGGCACAGGTTGGAGCAATATGTCTTCTGCCTGCAGTCTAGTGCAACTCAGTGTTGGATTCAGTGATCTTATGTGGGCATACAAGATTAGCAACCAGAATTAGGAACCAATTCTGAAAATAACAGCATAAGCATGTCTGGATCTGAATATGCACCCTACAAAATGGACAATCTAATACTTAGCAAGAGTAGATACCAAATTTACAGTGAAAGCTTAAATAATTACTGCTTGTAAAGTATTTAGAGATCTTCTAAAATCCATGTTCAGTAATATTATTTACATGTTTTCTTGTAACATAGCTGAATTTATCCTTTATTTCTGTAGGTCAGATCTTGCCAGCAAACCGAAACACACCAAGTCCCATTGATCCTGAGACTATCCAAGTTCCTGTTGGCTATGAACCTGACCCTGCAGATCTTGCTCTTTCCAGTATTCCTGGCCAGGAGATGTTTGACCCTCGTAAGCGCAAATTCTCTGAAGAAGAGCTGAAACCACAGCCGATGATTAAGAAAGCTCGCAAAGTCTTCATTCCAGATGACCTGAAGGTAAATTGGAACTGGTGACGAGGTTGTTTGTACAGACTCTGTGACAGTTACTCTCTGAGATACAGGTTTTGAGCGAGAATCTGCTTTCTCATGTAAGGTAAATCTGCCAAATTAAATACAACTTTGTTGTAAAATAAAACTGTTAACGGTTCTGAATAAGACTGAGGGGAGGATGTCCCTTATTAGTTACACAACAGTTGAAATTCATGAGACCAATATTCATTTCCTTTGTATGCCAGAAACTTCCTGCGTGACCTTGGACAAGCTTACTTTGTCCCATATTTCCCACTTACGAAACAGTCTGATCATGTTTCCTTTTCCTCCATCCTCTCTCTGTCTCATCCGCATAGATTGTGAATTCTTCAAGGAAGAATCCGTCTCTTACAGGGTCCATGGAGGTCCCTGATTGTGACAGAATGAAGTATATTGTGTATTGTTTTGAAGTTGCTTTAGCTCTGTGTTTAATAATGAATGGGAACGCTATAGTAAACACTACTAATCTAGGTGAAAGAATCTAAACTAGTTGTAGGAAAACAGAACAAAATTATTCTGCCGAGAAGTGTATTTTAAGACAATATTTAAAATATAATAATAATACAATATTTAAAAAGAAAGATCATCCTTGTCTATGCCTCTCACTGCTTCTGAAATGTGAAGAGCAAAGAGCATGAAGAGAGCAGAATAAATTGATCAACTAATTCAGCTTATCAAACAACTGTGAAAATCGTCATTATCTGCAGAATTCTATTCCCAGTATGTTTTTTCCAAGAGGATCTTTTTTATCACAGGTAGTCAGTGCCAAATTTCATTCTACTGTTGCTACTGCCCCCAAGACACCGACTGAAAACCTGTTGGAGTTGGTGGGAATCCCTGGCTGCACGTGCGAAGAGACTGGGATGCCATGTGTTTACACCAGATTGATAGCATTAGGGAAAGCAGATGATGCTACTCGCTATTTTTATCCCTCAGGATACTGTTGTGCAAGTTAAAAGCACAGAAATCACAATTCCAGTAGTGTTCAGGTGGTATGTTGCTGTCAGTTTGTCTGTAGTATCCTCAGCTTTCATTTAGAAAGATTTATCTGCACCATGCCGTTACTTACCTGGGCAGATTTTACTACCAACGATGCTCTGTTGGCATTGCAGTGTGCTGAGAGGTCTCCTAAAGAGAGGTGTTCGATACAGAAATGTCTGTGTGTGGGTGTAAGGAGACTGGAGTTTGCTCCTCAGTGCCATTCGTCATTTTGCGCTGTCTCCTAGGTATCCTTATTCATCAAAGCAAACTTTTGCCAAAGATGCTGTTGGACTACTCCGTACCAGAGGTGGAAAATACCAGTGTCTTGCATGCAGCAGTGGGGCACACAAGTTTTCAGCTGAAGACTGAACTAGAAGTTCAGGGTCTCTCTTTTCCCTGAGATAATCACATCAGTTGCCCTTGACTCATTTCAGAGTGCTTGACCCAAGTGCTGCTTCTGCCCTGGCTTGTAGAGCGGCTGTTGAGTTCTGGGGAAGGGTAAGCAGATTAGACCAGTCAAGCGTCTCTGGGTTGCATGTGATTTTGAAATGCCAGCCTTACCTCTTTCAGGCCTGGATTAAGGGATTTGCCATAGCAATTTGTTAAAATAAAGATGGATGAAGCCTAGGTGGCACACTAATAAATTGCTTAAAGCTGATTTTTATAGAGTGGAATGAGATAGGAAATTATAAACAAGATTTGGGTCATAGCTTTTTGCTGCATGCTTGTTTTTAAGAGGATTTTTGGAGGTCCCATCTACTGAAGAGCAATGTAGAGGTACACTGGCTCCAAATCGTCGTTGCTGCACACCTCATTAAGCGAAACTAATACGGTTGTAATCAACAGCAGTTGTAGATTACTTCTAGCAGTCATTTTGCTCTTGCTTTGCTTTTATGCAAGCAGTGGGAGAAGATGCAGAGCAGCGGTATTAGGCCTCGCGTGCTTCATGCTGAAAGACAGAGGAGTGGTGGGGTATTTGTCTATTCACTGCAACATAGGAGCAGATGGCTCCTGGTCCTTGTAGTGGGTATGGAAACAAGAAAGCCACACAAGCCAACTGAAGCATATAAAAATGGAGGGATAACTCTGGGAGGGGAAGTTTGAGCTATATGACTTGATCAGGCTTGATTTGAGAGTTGAATGGCTGCATCACTCTTATTCTGCAGGGGACTGAATTTCACTTTTTGTGAGAGATTCTGCCTACTTTGTACTTACCGAGTTGTTCCAAATTTCTAGAACTCTAATTCAGTTTCAAAGCAACAGTGAAGCTGCCATTTCACTGAAGGCCACTTCATTTGAAGAGTGGAAAAATCAGATGAAATTAAGTCGTGACTTTAGAGCCATTGATGCCACAATGCAATAAGGTGATCTCCTAGAGGCAAGTCTTTAGGGATAACACTTTGGGAATGTGTTAGCTTATGAAACTTCAGAGGTTAGTGGACCTATTTCTGGCAAATGCTTTTTTTTCCCCAGTCAAAGCCTATTGTACTAATCTCTTTGCGGATGGTACCAAAGCAGCCGTCCTTCTTGTGCCAAGGAATCCTCTTCCAGTGACTTACTGTTCTAGGGTGCAATCAAGGAACACTTTGGGGCTCTGTAGAGAAAGAACTTTGAACAGAGGAAAAGAGCTGAACCATAGACGAAATGGATGATACCAACATAGAGAGTGAACCAGGTGTTGGCTGGCAAAGGAGAGGAGCAGGGACGTACAAGAGGTGATTAGTACTGCTCCGGCAACCGGTAGAGAGTGAGTCATCACATGCGAAGGTGGATGTGCTAACTAGGTCAGCGTAGATGTAAGATGAATTGAACCACTGGAATACTGCTTCATTTTTCCTTGGAGGAATTCACAGTCAAGAGGATGAGGGGAGTTAGTGTAAACATTTTGACAGAGACATGGGCAGGCATCTGTGCTCCTTGGGTGGATTATGCCATGTAAATCTGTAACTTTTGTCCCAGCAGTGCCTGGGTCAGGCAAGCAAAACGTGCGGAGTTAAGTCATCCCTCCCCAGTCCGGAGGCTGCGGCTAAGAGACCGTCCTGGTGGCCGCTCAGTTTACTGAAATCTAATATCTTGTTTGTTTCTTTCTGTGTTTAATGAGCAGGATGACAAATACTGGGCAAGGCGTAGAAAGAACAACATGGCTGCTAAGCGATCGAGGGATGCCCGCCGGCTGAAGGAGAACCAGATCGCCATCCGCGCCTCGTTTCTGGAGAAGGAGAACTCGGCTCTCCGCCAAGAGGTGGCCGACTTACGGAAAGAGCTGGGCAAATGCAAGAATGTCCTTGCAAAGTACGAAGCTCGACACGGCCCCCTGTAAATTCAAGGGGGGGAGTGGGGGTTTTTTCTTTTTTCTTTTTTTTTTTTTTTTGTTGCGGGTTGGCATTTGAATAGATGGACAATGTGTTTCCTGTTTGATAGCACCACACCCAAACCAACCTTTCTGTCTTCAGCACTTTACCAGAAGCAGAAACAAAACTGACTTACGTTATTTTTTTTGTTTGCGTATGCGTGTACCTGCGTATGTGTGCACATGTGTGTTCACACATCTGTATATGTGTGTGCGCTTGTGTGTGTGCATGTGCGTGTGTGTGTGTGTGCGTGCGCACGCATCTCAGCACTTCCCATTTTTATGAAGCCCTCTTCAAAGGGTGCCACATTTTTACCTGGACTGTTGAGAACCGCCATAGTAAGCTTTTTATTATATTTTTTCAGTGCTGCTTCAGAGTAGGGTTTTTATGTTATTGTAACCAGTTCCATCCTCCTGATTTACTTGGAAAGATCCCAGTATAAATTACAAAAAAAGGAAAAAAAAAAGAAAAAAGAAAAAAAAGTAGATCTCAGTTTTTTCGAGAGTAACAAGCTATTGTTTAAGTATGTCTAATCAGAAAAGTTAACATGCTAATAAAGTGCACAAATAATAATTTAGTACTACACTGCAGAAATATTAATTTATAGATTGCTTTTGTTGTATTTTAAGTTTTGGTGATAATTGTCTTCAGATTTAAAGTGCTGTTAGACTGAGGTAGCTCTACTCATTAGAGATCCCACATGGCTTCTCTGTAGCTATTAAGGTTCCTTTCATTTCCACAGACCCCAGGTAGGTAGGAGTACTGTTGATAGACCACAGAGTGTGTATTTTGCACTGTCTGTACCTGAAGCAATAATCCTATTGTACGCTAGCGTGCATGCTGCCCGGATGTTCCTAGTGGACGTAGGATGGTTTCCCTACCCAACAGGAGTTTTGATGTCTTTAACAAAAAGTTAAAAAGTAAAAGACACATTAACGTGAGCATGCTAATTGTATCCCTGCTATGGGGAGCGCATGTATAAGAAGCAGGATAATTAGTTGAAACGAGAACAAAAGTACTAGTATCAAATCAGATCCGATGTCGAAATCAGAGGGGCTTTTCTGTTTTCAGTTAGTTACGCATTTCTTCAAGTTCCGTTTTGTGACTAAAAATTAAATAAATACCTAAATTCAGTTGTTTTTTCCCATGTTCTGTAATATATTTTCTGTGGATTATATCTTGCTGTTTTAAAAATCACTTTTATTCAGTTAGAAGTCGTCACTGGTTTGCAAAGCCCATTTTTCCTAGTGATTGTTGTTTTGAGTGTGACATGAACTGATGGTTCTGAACTTTCTTGTTTTAAACTCTCTATTTGCTTTTGAACACGTATGTTCTAAGATAAAGTGGACTTCTGAAAAATGAATGTAAGAGACACTGGTGTATTTCAGAAGGGGATGGTGTTGTCATATACTGTGGTTAATCCAATCAATCTAAGTGTTTACTATAGACCAAAAGAATAGATATTATAAAATGTATAAAGTTTATACAGAATAATTATAGTATGTTTGTTTTGTACAGTATTTTTCAAGTACAAATACTGACAATGTATTTTGGAAGACATATATATAGCAAAAAGAAAAAGCTATTCCATGTTTAAAATATATAGCAAAGATATATATTCTCCATTATTGTACAGAAAGGAAATGCTTAGGGGTTTGTTGGTTGTTGTTTTTTTTTTTTTTTAATCTTTAATATTTTAAGCCTACCATTGGCACACCGGCATGTTCTGTGCTTTAAATTAAATTTTTATGGAAGTAATATGGCTTTCCAGGATGTTCCATATTTCTGAAAAAGAGAGACTCTTATTTTCCATCAGAAACACATAAAGAATCTGTTTAATAGGGATAAAGAACAACATGGATTTTAGTCAACTCTTGATTGGACAATACAATATTTTGTAAAGGCAGAAAAATAATATATAACACAAAAAAACTCATAGTCATTTCTAATCTGCTGCTGCTGCTAGAATCTGTTTCCAGCTGAAATTTTTTTATAAATAGCTCTGTTCATATATACAGTTGTACGTACTGCATACGGTTATTAACATGTGAGGAAAATATGGTGCTACATGTCTTGCTCACAGTTTTCTAAGTGTTTCGACATTATTTTCAAATAAAAAGGTTGTTCATTCCATTAAATCATTATTCATGCTTCAGGAGATTGTTACAAAGGACTCAACATTTTGTGCAGCATTAAAAATATCCTCGCATCGATGGCATTTTTCCAGTATTTTTCCTCAAACATACCCAACTTGTCAGCATCCTTTAACGTGCAGTACTTGCCTGTGGACCATTTATTCAGCAAATTGAATTTCCACGTGCTGCAGCAAAGTTTAAAGCGTAGTAAGCTATTTTCTAAAACTCAGTATAAGCACTGGATGCATGGGTAGAGAAATGAGACTGACAGTGTTTGGCACGAGTCAGTGCATCTGCTATAGCCACTATGAAATAAACTGTATTTTCGTCCTTTGGAAGAAGCGTGACCGTTTTCACCCAGCCGCTGCTGTGGATACACTTTTAGCAGCAACATAGCAAATGCAACAGCTAATTGCCCTTACGATGATTGTTCTCGGGGTGATGCTTGAACAGCAGGAACGATGCCTCTGAGATCAGCGGGTACGTGCCTAGCTAGGGCCATCGGTGGGTTGCATTGTCACCACAAAACTTCCTTTAAAATATAAAAGGCAGCTTGGAAAAAAATTACAGATAATTCTTTTATTTCTTTTGGGCAGGGAAGGGCTGGGAGATGGTAGTTTTTGTAGGCTGGATATCACGCATTTATTGTCACAGCCACAGAGGAGCACAGAGGTTCCCAGCAGCTACCTCCTCCAGCAGCCCCAAAGCTGCTGGGATGCCCGCTCGCCCCATCCTGCCGCGCGGGAGGGCCGTCGGGCAAGCCTGCGGCTCGGGGGGGTTGGAAGCGTGCTGGAGCGAGCGGGAAGGGCTGCTCAGCGCCAGCCAGCG